AATTAAGGTCTAATTCTGTCAGCTGGAGAAACGCTCTGTTGCTCAGAAGGGGGTGTCTTTGGTGAGAAGATTGTAATAAACAAAATATCCATAGTCCATAAGGTATTACTGACTTGAGCCTGCCATTGTGGCAAGTTGATTATGAAAGCCCGATTCTTTATCACCCGGCGGTTAATGTAAATCAAGGGTTGCATTTAGATAGTGTTGAGTACATGTATTAGATCCTAGGTAGAAGAAGGGAAGATGGCGATGCACTTCGTGTGGGAATGTTAGATTATTGTCACCAATGAAATGTTTGCAGATCGCAAATTAGGACCACACACCTTTCAACGCCATCTCGCATTTGTATGCACTGCTTGGATTCAAGGATATAGAACCACAATACCAAAACGACTAAACTTCCAAATTGTATACGGCGACCAAGGTATGGTGACAAACTCAAGATTGGCGGTATCACTGATTTCATAGTTCTTCCAAACCACACCTCCCACAAGCGTAACTAACAGGTTAGTGAGAATTGAGTCTAAGTTCTTCAAGTAGAAATTAGCAGGTGGGCACTCGATCAATGCAGTGGCTTCATCTGCAGGTTTTTATAATGAGAAAAGTGCGGCGACCTAATCTAATTACTCTAAGTACCTGCTGAATTGGGGTGATCCAAAGGTACAGCGAAAATTGGATAAAGAATCCAATAATCTTGCTAATCGACGGTTTGCACTCGAAAACTGCATTTTTTTTCTTTTCCGAAAACAATATATGAGCTTGATATTCCCAAATCACGTTCAGATTGAAAGTATTGCGTGTCAAGTGCTTCTAGTGACGCGGTGTATGCTGGTAGAAAGTTTGCTAAAAGTTCGCGAAAAAGAGACAATACTCAAGCCACTTTCTGTACCAAAGAATAATGCCACAGTCGCCGGGCTAATTCATATGACCATTCAAAAGGGTTTTCCAAATACACATCAACACCTTTGAGCTGAGGTAGCTACGACCGCGTACAAAACATCAGATTTTATATCAGAAGATAGCTAACTTCAACCTGGTTATCGCTGATCGTTTTCAAGCGAAAAATGCAACCAATTTAGATACTCAGCAATTATTGCTCCGACCATCCAGTTAGAGTTTATAAAGCTCACGAGTTCAGGCGGAAGCGTTTTGCTGCTCTGTTAAAAAAAAGTCATTTTCCAAATTCCGAGTGGTTTTCCTAACTTGTGCGCAGTTGCCCAAGTGCTGTCTAGCCCTAGGTGAATCATCACATTTCGTGGAGTACTCCCATGGAAACTTTACTGTTAATTTATGAATGCAACTCTTGTTGCTAGCTTTCTGAACGACTGAAACCGAGACACACCTCATAGCAGACCGCACTGCAAATTTCTGTCGATAAAACATGGGTCACTTTTGTGGATTCAGTGAGACGAAAACATACTGAGGAATGATGCTCTCAGTTGTGGTAACTCATTATCCAATGTAATATTCTGGCAGAAAGCAAATCCAAGTGTTTGATGCTATCGATCTCTTCATTGTTACTGATAGACGAAGGTAACATGGAAGGTAGCATTTTTGAGACCATCCAAGCGAGAACGGATGCAACCGAGATTTCTAGACCAGCACTTAGACTTCCATGGAGCTCGGTGTCAGTGAAAGCCCTTATTTGATAAAAATGATCTACTTTCAATAAGCTCAAGAAGGTGGGATGCAGTTTTGGCCCATATAATCAGGAAAATCTTAACCTAGAGCCAGTGATTCACTATTCAGACCCTATTTGAAAGATAACAGATCTCCAGACAAAGAAATCAGAAAACCGTGGGAGTGAACCTTTCGACCAGCTACCGCGTATAGATAAATGGTTCATCCATTGTCTAAACAAGACTAGCTAAATTTCTCAAGTGAACATGACCGTACCCCTGGTCAGTCCACAACCTACCGCTTATCACTTGTTTGTTCACAGTGTCTGGTTTACTTGGACATTATTGATTCAGCTGTCAAGTATGGTGTTTAATCGGAAGACCACCAGCGGAGTTCGGATTGTCTTACTTATTATTCAGTCGCTAGCTTGGTCACCAAACGGCATGTGGTGGTCATGTCTGATAGGCGCTGATAAGACAGGTAACAATGACAGGGGGACATCCGATGAACAGGAAATGCCTACTAATCCACTGCGCGCTGAAGAGCATTGTCGCATGGATTTTGTAGCGTCCAGTCACCAACCTACCGAAAGATGAACAATGGGACAGATCTGGACACGTGAATTAGATTTACCATCGATGAGCACAATCGAGATAGTCTTTCGATAAAACTCCACGGAATCGTTTTTAAAGGCAATGGGACGACAATGTAACAGGAAATATCAACAGAAGAACAGTACATTTCCTAAGACGCATTTTTTGTGTGACCACCCCCGTGGCCACTTCCGCTAACATTCTAGAAATATACTTAAGTGACACTGTAAAATTCAAAAAGTCTGAGTTAGGATGCAACTTCTTTGCATTTTGGAGAGATGATTCAGTACCTAAACAAAAGCTATGATTAAGAGAAATACAATGCCCCCCATTATGCTGTCGTTAATATGATGAGGCTGAAGAACAAGTCATTAGTGCGTACTAGACAATTGCAGGTGATTATGGCCTAGTTTAAGCTAAATCTACAGCTACGGTCGGTCCTCAGAAAGTTTTATATAGTGTACATGGAGTAAAAAGCAAATTACTCCTCCCTTGTGGTTTTGTTCATTTAAAAACGCTCCACCGTGGTCTGATCATATTCCTTTCGGAACCTGGGCCTTTCGAAGAACTAATTCTTCACTCTATTTATGGAGTTCAGCGGGAATGAAACCACATCTAAAATAGCACTAGTAGAACCTAAGGAGGCCTATGACCTTATATCACCTGGTTTTCTGAATTGTCCCAGATGACATTTGAAGTTTCGGGGGCAGTCTATCGTTCGACCTGCAGTAGCACCCTCAGAGACATTCAGCGACCTTCAGTTTGTACTACTTCTGAGAGCCATTTTTCGATACACAATTTCTGCAACACTCAGACAGCTAGTTACACAATGTAGACCTTTGCACCCTGTTGCAAATATCTCCGTGAACTGTGGATAGAATTCAACAATTCGTGTAAGAGAGTCGGCATTGATTCATGTATCTGTGTAGTGTGGTTGCGTGTGAACGTTACGGCGCAACCTGCTATAATCATGTGTCGGTAGCTGATGTAGTAAAGGCAGATACATATTCGATAAAATGCTAGAACACATCTAACATACAAGAGTAAGCGTGATACAAACCAGTCAGAATCAGGACAATCCTATGCTTAGCGGGGAACAAAAAACTCCTTGGTAAGAGTTCACTTTAAGCACCGTCAACCGAAAAACTGGCTCAGATGAATTCGTCAACGCCAATATAGATAGGTGGATTCATGCGCCTAGATTAAATGAAACACGCCTCTTGAATGCCCTTCTATAATGACAAAAATTAGTAGTAAATTCCTAATTGGGAACACCCTTTTAGGGACCATCTGTTTACAAGGATTATGTGGGCAGCAGAAATCATGTCAGTTTATCAGCAGCAATAGTTTATTTCAATTTTCAACATCAAAAGTCTGCTGACTTGTTTACTCTTACACCCGAGTGAAATAATTTGGCAGCTGGAAAAAATCGAATTCGTTCCAATATGCTGATTTTGTTTCACGGAATACAGAATGCCCAAAAAGTTGTCCACATTGAGACAGTCTTTGTTCAACCCGTGGGGCACATAGAAGATACACGCAATCAGGTATTTTAGTATTTAGACAAGGGTTACCGAATAACGGGGAGTTCGTTTAACATTGAACATCTTGCATTTGTTTTGACCCAGTTGCATGACACTTTCTACCAAGTCGATACCCTTTTCACATTATTCAACGATTTATAGGGTGCTTTTATCCCAGTGGCACTCCATATAGGCCTCAGTATATGTTGTTACTGTGGTACTCTTTGTTCAAACCAAACGTTTTTTTCCAAAACAATGTGTGCAGCAATTACGGAATTCTATGATGCATCAAGTGATGTGCATCAAACAGGTTTCCTACGGATTTATTCGACATGTAGGATGATTCTCATGGCTATTGAACCTGGACATAAATCTGTGCAGGCATGTGTAATTTCTCCTAATCTCCCACCAAGCCACGTTGAACAGTAATCGTAATCAGAGGAATACAAATATATAAGCATACCTTAATAATGCAGAAAAGTCCGTTCAATCAATGATGTTTGGTTACGTCAACTGATATCGGTCGTCTTATTTCAGTAATGGTCTATCTTTACTCCAGGATTGACTAGTTTCTCATCCAGAATACACCCCAAGAATTTGCATAATCGGGTTTCAGCCGAAAACCAAATAGCCATAAGATAGAATTGCCAGTCGCTAGCTGCACCGGATCTCCGTTGGTATGGGTCAATGAGTGTTACTGATGATTGAATGCGTCTCTAGACGTTGATTTCGGTTATGATACCAGTGAGATTTAAGGAGCCTGTGTGCAGCAGTTGAAGCTCGATTCCCATACAAAAAATTTCATACCACAGGGTCTGTCTCCCTGATCTTCCAGAAAACTTCAAACGGAATCAATCCAAGTCCTCCGACTTTGTGTGATAAAACTGCCGTGAACGTTATCACTGCAAACTTTGATGTACTTCAGTGGTTTTTTGAACTGTTCATTTATGGCTTTTCGTGAGTACAAATTAGCGTTGTATTTGCCGACTGTCAACGTGAGGGCCTCTCTGTACGATTCAAACCCGGATCTTCATAGCAGTATTTCACCGAAAAATCTGGGACAGTTGATCTCTCATGGATCGACATCGGTACACTCCAAGCACGTGTGGTTTTCTGCATGGCTTTGAGCCATTTGGCATACACCACCATTGAAACGATACCTTAGTTTATTACAAGCTTTTAGGCGAAGTCTTGGAGTTTTCATTAGCAGTAGCTCAGCTTGAAACACTTAATAAATACTCCATAATGTTTCCTTTGTTTCAGCCTTTTATGTCATCTTGATGGAAATCTGACAAGCGATGATGAACCAACCATTTGAGTACCGGCACAGAATGAAGTTTCTCTCTCGGAACGTCGTTGGGGCATCATTGCGTGAAATATTCATCATTTATCTGCTGATAGTGCCAACTACAGTACAGAACCAACCTGTGGACACAGGCAGCAGATCACTTGGATTTCGAAGCGCAGAAGTTCCGAAAAACCCAGATGCACATCAGTTGTCTTCCACATCCAATGACCCAAAAGCCCCCCAAAATAAGCTGGCTCATGAACACACCAATGGGTTGGTTGCAGTCGATTTTGAAACTGCTCGTTTTTATGTGCATGCATCAATGTTCCAGAAAGAGTCATGGCTAAAACTGGAGTGCGTTCATTTTAAGGCATGGAATCATGAAATTCCCGATTTTCATCTTCCTCGGACAAGAAGTTTTCTATAAAGTGACCGCAGTTAGACATCATATTGTAATAAGGAATAGTTCACATAGTTATGGAAGCGTCAGGCTTCATAATCACGCTCGCGGTTCCGGTGGTTCAGAACTGACAGATTAATTTCTAGCTTCAATTCTGAATTCAAAGCCAAAAGCACTGAGAAGTTTTCCCAAAGAGAGCACGATATCTTCCTAGGACTCAAACCATGACATCGGTTCTTGAGAGTTCCTATGTAAGAAACTCGAAAATAAATACCGGATGTCTGCAGAGCACAAGAAACTTAGGATTTTGATCCGAGCGAAAACGATTTATTTGTTTTGTGTATTGCTTAGCGACTTGCAGACGATTTTGAAACTAAAATTTTCTGGAGAACTGTAAACACCATTATTCACATAAAACGAATGCTCAAACGTCATAATTTACCAGAAACCGTGCCAATCTCAAAGAGGCGAACACTTGTATCGGTTATGCACTGAGTAGGGGCGCTGACTCATGCTGCTGAAGACAGCTGACTCACAGGCGCCACGAACAGAACTCACCAACACTCGAGTTTCTACTTCAACAACTGGGCTATTTCCAGTTGTCCTTGAGAAATAGGTTGCAATATTTGTTCGACACAAGTTTTCTAGTGAATAGTTGTCCGAGCTTTCTGTCGGGAGTGACTAGGGCAAAGGATGGGGGATATTTCTTATCCCCACAGTGGTATTCCACATAAGTATACTCGACTGTTCGAGTGCTTTTGAAGCATTTCAGATGTTTGATTGTTTGGGAATGCGATCACCCATCTGGTCCTTTCGTAGGATTTCATCTGCTAACTTAGTTGTTGCCACAAGTGAACCTTTGTGTCGAATGGGGGGAACTAGCAATAGAAACTCAATTACCTGAAGTTGTTTTCCTCTTGACGAATGGCTACGCAACGTTATTTTTCAAAATAACGCTACACAGAAATACTTATTTTCTCGGACGAAAAAAATGGATAAAATTTACAGTATTGCCCTTACTTCTAGATATGGAGCAATGTAACGTTGATCTACTATTGGGTACTTAGTGATGCCAATACCAGTGGCTAATATAATCAGGGAGTCATTATCCCGAGTCCAGTAATATACAATTCTGAACTAATGTACTTATTGACCTAATGAAACATTCATCAGCCTAATATATTGCGTTCTCTCCAAAATGAGAATATACCTGCACACATGACTCATTTCATATTAGTTTGACGGAGTTACGCTGTAAACTTAATCTACAAATTATCCTCGATTTCATTAAAAAAAGAGCTGAGTATTTTTACATTTTATTCTATTACCGGAAAATTACTGTCCGTTAATTATGAATATGATGAATATTTTGAAAACGCGATGATGTTTTTTCGGTGATCGGTATATCGGTATACCCTTGACATTTTTATCACCAATGCCTAGATTTTTAATTGAAATTGTTAGCTCACGACTGGTGCACTCTTCGGAAATTTGCACATTCATGACATTTTAAGCAAAATATTAATTCAACGGCTCCACATTTTGCTAAGTAACTTAAGTTCAACA